CTGCTGTGTTCTCTCTGCACGCTCTGGAGGTCTGGGGGCCACAGCTACTGAGGAAGCTGCAGAGCCACAGGGAGGATGAGCTCAAGCTAGACCCAGGAGGAGGGATTTGTGCAGCAGGCTGTGTGTGGAGCAAATACTCCCCTGTGTTTTTGAGTTTGGGGAAAACACTGTGGCCCAAAGAGGAAGACAGCTCCATACATTCTGCAACTCGGCACGGCCTCACAGGTGCCACAAACAAGATGAAGTCCGAGCCACATAGCCTCTTCCCATTACCCATGTGGCAGTGGGGAAACAGAGACTTCCATATGTGGAACCTGGAGAGTTGGGCTTGAGAGAATGGGGAGATGCTGGAATGAACCTAACCCTGGTCTCCTTCCTTTCTGTCTCCAGGGTCACAGTCACCTCTCTGTACAAGTGAATGGTGTATATATGTATATTGTGTGTGGTATGTGTATATATAGTGTGTATATGTGTGATGTATGTATGTATGGTATGTATATATGTGGTATGTGCGGTATATGTATGGTATGTATACGTGTGGTGTATATGGTATATTTGATATGTATATGTATGGTATCTGTGTTGTATGACTGTATGATGTGTGTATGATATGTGCATGATGTGCATGGTATATATGCATATACCAGGCATAGGCCACATTAATGAAGTTTCAGTGAGCAGCAAACTGTACACATACCATACTGGGCCCATGAGATTGTATTGAAACTGAAAACTTCCTGTTGCCTAGCAACATCATAGCCACTGTGTTGTCACAGCATAGGCATTACTCACAAATTTGTGGCAGTGCTATTGTCAAGCGTCCTGTGCTGCCAGCAGTGTGGAAGCTCAGCGCATGAAGTAGGTCCTCGGTCCTACTGCTGTAGGTGACTGTGTTGCTGGCCATGTCTTCACTGAACTACACTTTTATTGGTATTTCAGTGCACACTTCTTCCACTTATGTAAGAAGAGGTTATCTGTAAAACAGCCTCACACAAGTTCTTGAAATATTCCAGAAGGCACTGTTGTCCTAGAAGACACCTCTGTGTGGGCCACTGCCCCTGAAGACCAGAGGACAGGATATAGAGATGGCGACAGCCATGACCCTGACCCTGACACATTGTGTGGGTTTGGAACGTAGGTTTTCACAAGGGAAAGAAGATGAGGGAGGGAGGGAGGGAAGGAGGAAGGGAAGGAGGAAAGGAGAGAGGGAAGGAGAAGGGAAGGAAGCTTAAACTTAAAAATGGAAAAAAGCATGGGGCTGGAGAGATGGTTCAGTGGTTAAGAGCACTGGCTGCTCCTGCAGAGGACCCCATGTGGCAGCTAACAGTCATCCATAACTCCAGTTCCAGGAGATCCAACACCCTCTTCTAGTCTCCACAGATATTGCATACATGTGGTGCACTTACATACATGCAGGCAAAACACCTCATACATATAAAATAAAAATGAAATTTAATAAAAATTTTTTAAAATGGCAAAAACAGCAAATAATATAAAGAAAACTGTTTTGTATAGTTATACAATATGTTTTTTATTTAAGCTAACTGTTATTACAGAAGAGTCAAAAGTTTTAAAAAAATTTATTTATTATTTTTATTTTATGTGTATGCGTGTATTGCCTGCATGTAGGTAAGTGCACCAGTGTTGTGCAATGGCCGTGGAGGACAGAAGAGGCTATTGGATCCCCTGGAACTGGAATTATGGACAGCTGTTAGCTGCCATGTGGGTGCTGGGATTTGAACCCGGGTCTTCTGCAAGAACAGCCAGTGTTCTTAACCGCTGAGCCATCTCTCCAATCCAGGATTGGTCTATTATTGAAGAAATAATCTGTTTTATGAATCAGCATAGCCTAAGTACACAGTGTGTATCCTGGCATGCCAAGGCCTTCCTACCCACCCTTCCTCACCCACCAACCCACCCTAACACCTTCAGCACTGCAGGCTCCATTCACACAAGTGCCCTTGCAGGTAAGGCTTTAAGAAAACTTGATAAGCCCTATCTTTACCATCCTTTTATTTTTACTTAGCTCTTTTTGCTTAGGTCTATCTAATGAACAAAGACTTAATGCTGTGTCTCCTCATGGGCAGGAGACAGTAAACACAGAATTTTAAAACACACACACTCAGCACCCCAGGCTTCAGGCTGGCAGGGCCCAGAGGGAGGGGGAAGTCCTCGTCTTTTAATCCCTGAGGCCCATGAAAGCTAGGGAACCTGCCCAAGGTCAGCTAGCCCCAGGTGGTCTGTCCCAACAGCCTGTTTGCTTGCACAGGTCAAGGTACACTGCTTCCCTCTCCCCAGTCCTCAGCTCCTGCCTTATCTGTGAGGCTGGGGTGCTGGACCCTTCTGCCAGGCCAGGAGGTCTCACCCTGTACTGAAGAAGATGAAGCAAATTCAAAATCAAGCCAACCACTGACTTACCTGACTTCTTTGCCAAGGTACTGGATATCTCTGGTCACTGAAGGTTTAAGAGATAGAGCCCCCTGAGCTTGAGTCAGGTTCATTTCTAGCCAGGTTCTCATTACCTCCTGGGAAGAAGACAGTAAGCACAGAATTTAAATACACACACACACACACACACCACAGAGTATCCACCCAGTGACGCTGGCCATGGTCATCAGACAGGCAGACAGGGGAATGACAGAAGATGGGAATTCTTGTGGGCTGGATTCTCTGGATAGAACAGTGGTGGGCAGAGAACAGCCCACCTTTACCCAGGCCTGTGCTCTTGCCAGTCTGCCATATTTGCAGGCTGTGGGAGCCCCAGGCTCTCTGGTCACCTGACCCTGGAAATCTGCCCATCCCCTGCCCGGGGGCAGTTATTCCCCAACCACCTTGGGAGAACTGCCTTTGCTTTGTTGCTGCTGTGACACCTCAATCAGAGCCCAGATTATGCTGTATTGTAACTGTGCATGTATCATCTCACACCAGCTTTGTGGGCAGGGCTGGGGTCTCCTCCTCTGTGTTGTCAGTAGCTGCTCAGGTACATATGGATCGCACCTCATCCCAGGTGAGTTAATGGCTCTGAGAAACAGTGAGTCCAGGAGTGGACCAGTCCTAATGGATATCAGTTATCCTAGTTTCCTTTTCTGTTGCTGTGATAAACCACTGACCAAAAGCAACTTAGGGATGAAAGAGTTTACTTCATCTTATAACTCCCAGGTCACAGTTCATCACTGAGGAAAGTCAAGGCAAGAACTCAAGGCAGGAGCTTGAAGCAGAAACCACAGAGGAATGCTGCTTGCTGGCTTGCTTCCTCTGACTTTCTCAGCTGCCTTTATTATACAAGCCCTGGCCCACCTGCCTAGGGAGGGCACCATCCACAGTGGGCTGTGCCCTGCTACATCAATTAGCAATCAAGAAAATGCCCCACAGACATGCCCATAGGCCAGTCTGACAAAGGACACTTCTCAATTGAGGTTCCCTCTTCTCAGGTATCTTTAGTTTGTGTCAAGTTGACAAAAACTAACTAGCATGTCAGTAAAATGAGTCCCACAAAGAGGATCTGAAAATGAAGGCTAGGATACCACTGAGTATCTAAGCTGACCAGAGCACATGTAGAGAAAAGTTCATGTATCCTGCTAGTCCAGTTCAGTGGATTTTTCACAGACTGAACACTCAGACTAAACAGGACATTACCCCGAAAACCCCTAGTGTCCTTCCCCTTGTCATCTGAATTCTGTAACTGTAGCTGTTTGTCTGTCCTATAACCTTATGTAAATGGAGTCACATAGTCTGTGTTCTTTTGTTCCACCTTTTATGGGGTTAATTTATACAGTTGCACGTTGTTATTTCTTTATTCTCACTCCTGTGTAATACTCCAATCTGTGAACATGGCAGCTCTTTTGCCTGGTCAACCGTTGACAGGCTTGTGGGTGGCTCCCAGCTTGGCACTGTTGTGAATACGCTGCTAAATTCCTGTGTGGTCATGTCTGAGGACATCTGTGAATATTTCTGTTGCAAATACTAGTTTACATTAGGAATGAGCTCCCAGGTCACATGCATGTGCGTGCTTAGCTGGTAGGCACAGAAGGACTGTTTTTAAGCAGTATGATGAAGAAAACCAGGCAGGGTGGGGAAAGCAAGAATGATGGTGTGGCAGGGGGCAGAGCTGTTGGGGCAATCATCACCCAAAGGGCAGTGACCAAACCACAGAAGTTGCTTCAAGTAAAGTATGTTTTCTATCTTTGGGGTGGGGAAGCTTTGGAGGATGCAGACCGCAGTGGGTTAAAGTGAGAAATCCAGTCACTGGGGCAGCCCTGGGCTGTGGGGGCATCTCAGGAGGTCAGGTTTAAATAATTTAAAAGTCCAGTCCTAGGCTGGAGAAGAGATGGCCCAGCAGTTAAGAGCACTGGCTGCTGTTGCAGAGGACCTAGGTTTGATTTCCAACATCCACATGGCAGCTAATCATCCATAGCTCCAGTTCCAGTGGATCTATTGCCCTCTTCTGGCCTCTGTGGGCATTGCACACATGTGGTGCACTTACATACATGCAGGTAAAACACACATACACATTAAAATACATAAATAAATGAATAAATTTAAAGTTCATTCACAAATGCTGTAGCGTGCCTAGCTTTGCAGAGCCTCTGGTCTGGGAGAAACCACTGTCACCGGGCAGGCAGTGGTGGTGGAAGCTCATTAGTAGTCTTGTGGAGCTCCTGCTGGGTGCAGAGCCTTTAAGAAGAGACCTGTAGGTTGTGGGTAGCAGAAATACAGGCATATTGGGTCCTGACTGCACACCTCTGTGAAACGCCATCACACTGAGGGCCTATGCCTGGAGGTAGGCTACTGTCCCCAGCAGGAACCTCCTGGTCCTTCCTGGTGCACCTGCTGGGATACTCCCTTAGGTGGCTCACTCCAGCTATGCAGGCTGATGGGCCATCGCTGTCAGGCAGAGCCCTTGCAGCCTTCCCAGTCTTGGGCTTTAGGTGGGCCTCTGCCTACTTGTATTCAGGGTCCTGACCCAGCAAGTGATATCAGCTTCTCCCTGTCTTTTATAGAACGGCAGCAAAGACAACTCTCTGGACATGCTGGGCACAGACATCTGGGCTGCCAACACCTTTGATTCTTTCAGGTAATTTCCTATTTCTCTGCTGTGTCCAGTTCTGGCTGGGGCCTCATGTCATCAGGGCTTATGGGGCTGAGTCATTGTTAGTAGTTCACTGATCAAGATGTGGAGGGAAACAAGGATGAAGCAGAGAGGGTGAGGCTGCAGAAGGAGGGCAGCAAGAGGAGGCTGGGAGAAAAGCAAGAGGGAGCATCAGAGAAAGGAAGAAGGGGCTGACAGGAAGGAGAGGGCAGAAGGAAGACTGGAGGGGAGGGAGAGAGCAGAGGAAGGGTCTGGAGAGGATAGGAACATGGAAGAGGGCACACATCACATGATGAGCAGCTGTGTAGCCTCCCCACCCTTCCCACCCAAGAGTCTACAGAAAGGTGGGAACTAGGGTTGTAAGTCAGTGGTAGGAGGGTTGCAACACGTGCATAAGGCCCTGGATTCCCTCCTTAGCAGTGTACATGCACGCATGCATGTGTGCAAGCACACACACACACACACACACACACACACACACACGCAAAAGGATGATTGAGTAGTTCAGATTCTAGAAGGCTCCCGGTGGTGGAATTGGCCAGGGCGCCAATGGACAATACCCTGCTATGGTATCTGTTATTTTGGTATAGCAGCCTTGGGCCATGAATGACCGGGCCCCTTCCTTCATGTCTGCCCTATCCCCAGAGGTGCCCAGCTGAGGACACACTCCTATACCTGGGTGCAGACCCAACATGGAAGACCTCCTGGGACAGGAACTAGGGAGCTGGCTCCTACTTCGCCACCTCCGCTCATCCATTTCTGAGATGCTTGGTCGCCATTTTGGGCAGTGGTGAAGGGTGTCCTCCCTTCTTTCTCCAGCCCTTCTCAAATGTAGGAATAAAACAAAGTCTGAGGTGTTGCAGGAACCTCTGCGGAGTGGGCATTCGGCCCACACTGGTGTTTAGAAAGTATGCATTTTTGCACGGCAGGGGTGAGGAAAGGTAAGGGCCTGATACTTCAGGTTCCATTCTGAGTGGAGGTCCACGCAGGCCCTCGGGGGTGGGTGCCTTCCCTGTCTGCACCCCGAGCCTCCAGTCCATCCTGCAGTTAAAGAGGCCCCTTGCCTTCCTGCCTCACATTTCTTACCCTCCCTCGCCCTCTAGTGGTGCCACCTGGGACCTGCAACCTGAAAAGCTGGACTTCACCCAGTTCCACCGGAAGATCCGACACACGCCCAAGCAGCCCCTGCCTCACATCGACAGAGAAGGGTAAGGGCGTCAGTGGGCATTCACATGGGGCAGGGTGGGTGGAGGCCTCTGTCTTGCTGTATGAGAAAAATTCAGCGGGAGGGGAGGACGGATGGGGTTATGTCCAGTGTGCTCTGCCCAGTCCCAGGACCACAGGCTTCTCTGGAGACTCTCCATCCTCCCAGTCAACCACATGCCTGCTCCAGAGCGGCACTGAGGGCCTGCTTATCAGTCCAGTGGTCTCCAACTAGAGCATCAGGGAGGCTTACTTAAACACCAGGGCAGGGCCTGCCCCAGTCTCTGATGCAGTAGGTCTGGAGTTCCCTCTCAGGTGTGTCCAACCTACAGCTAGCTAGAGCCTTACAGCTGCATGCGGAGGAGACTAGCTATGAATGGAGGCCTGAATCAAAATTATAAACTTAAGGTATTTTTTGGAAATTCTTAAGTTCACTGCACAGTTCTTGAGCTTGAACTTTGTAAATAACCTTGTGTTGCAATATCAAAAGGTTGGATAGGCCTGAGAGGCTGGGGATTTGCAGTTGTGATACGTTCCCAGAGGGTGCTGAGGCTGCCAGCACCGGGACCAGTTTTGGGAACTACTGGTCTCAGGGTGGACTTCACCGTGGTTTATCATGCCCTTATCAGCTCCAGGAACCAAGTGTTGCCTTGCTTTTAAAAAGTGATCTTGGGCTGGAGAGATGGCTCAGCGGTTAAGAACACTGACTGGTCTTGTAGAAGACCCAGGTTCGAATTCCAGCACCCACATGGCAGCTAACAACTGTCTGTAACTCCAGTCCCAGGGGATCCAACAGCCTCTTCTGTCCTCCACAGGCACTGCAGGACATAGGTGCACTTACCTACACACAGGCAATACACACATACACATAAAATAAAAAAATAAATAAAATATTATATTTAAAAAGTGATCTTGGGGCCTGAGGTGGCCCAGGACACAAATGTGGTTCCAGAAAAACAGGGTGTGAGGCAAATGGCCTCTTATTTAAAAAAAAAAAAAATTTGTGGTTGTTGTTTTGTTTTGTTTTTCTTTGGTTGGTTGGTTGGTTTTGATTTTTTGAGACAGGGTCTCCCTGTAGCACCAACTGGGTTGGAACTCACAGAGATCCACTTGCTTCTGCCTCCCAAGTACTGGAATTACAGGTGTGCGCCACCACACCTGGCAGTTTTTTTAAAGTAATTTTTATTGAGATAAAGGGTACATGGCATAAAATTAACCACTTTAAAGTGTGCAAATCAGTGGCATTTAGCATGCTTACAATGTCTGCAGCCACTGCCTCTTTGTCACCCCAGTATAAACTTAAGTAATCAATTCCTAATCCCACCTTCATGCCTAGCTCCCCCAACACACAACCACCAATCTGCTTTGTATTTCTGCAAGTTTATTCTAGGAACTCGGAGAAATAGAATTGTTTGTGCCCTTTTCTCTAAGCTTAATGTTTTCAACGTTTGTTCACATGTGTCAGCACTTCAATCCTTTTCTGTAGCTGAATAATATTCCACGATATAGATTTTACCATCATTCATGTACCCATTCATCCATCAATGAGTAGTTGAATCATTTTCTCTGGGCTTTTGGGGAAAATTCTGCTTTGTGTGCAAGGCTCTGAGTCCCTGCTTATGATCCTCTGGCAGATACCAAGGAGTGGGATTGCTAAGTCATTTGGGAACTCCGTAACTTTTTGAAGAACTACAAGATTTCCCAAAGTCTTTGAATGTTTTACATTCTCACAAGCAGTATCTAAGAGTTCTGATTTTTCCATATCCTAACCCTCCACTTGTTCTCCACTTTGGAAGTTGATTTATTGTTATTATTTTATTTATTTTCCTCCACCCCTCACCGCCTACTCTTGTTTCCCCATCACCCCAGTCCTAAACATAACCATCATGACTGGACGCTTTACTGCTGTCACATGTCCTACAGCTGCTCTAATCCCTCCCATCCCCAGAGGCCACTCCTCTTGGTGGCATAGGTCTCCCCTGTTAAGCAGCAGTCTGGCGAAAGGGATGGTCTCCCCCCATTTTAGAGGCAAGAGAAATGGTGCTCAGACAAGGCTAAAATAACCACAGGAGTTGGAAAGATGGAGGGGTGCTTTGGGGGTATTTTCTGGGTATCTCCACTCCCTCCTATGTCCCCAGGGAGCACATGTCTGGTGACACCAGTAAGGGAAGTGAGGCTTGAGGAGTCCAGGTGACAGTGCTGCCTTAGAGTCCAGGTGTCTGGTGGGGAATGCATGTGTCACTTCCCAAAGGGGTCGGCCCAGCACACTGAGATGAGCAGCGTAGTCACAAGCAGGCTCTATACCAGTGAAAAATGGCCATACAGGGGAGATTCTCTAATGCTGACGGACAATATCTCTTTTGAAGCCAGAAAATTGGGTCACTTCCGCTCATCAGCTGCGGCCTGACTTCCTTGGTCAGGCCCACCCATCCAGCAGGAGCTGACCAGACTTTCTAAGAGTAGACATCTGTCTGGCCCTGAACAGATCCTACCACTCAGGATTTATGGGCAGTGGCCTACGGCCCCTTGTGGCTAGAGCAGGAACTTTGCCCTCCTGAGCCTTGCCCTCTGAGGAGTGGAGTCCAGGTGTCCAGCCGTTCCTACAGAAGCAGGCTACTGCTCAGTTGCCAAGACTTCCCAAAGGACAGAATCAGAGTGGGCTGTTGCCTTGGCAACCGATTGGCCAGCCTATGACTCAGCAGGTCTGCAGCCACCTTCTGCCTGCTACACCTGTAGGTCTGCAGGGAGTTCACCCTGATGAGACAAACCAGGGGGCAGCAGCTGGCCCCTCCACTGCTGGTCTCGAGATGCTAAAGTGAGAGACAAAGAACAGCCAGGCTCAAACTTGTTCATTAGAGCCTACCATGGGCACTGAGCCCAGCCCAAACTGGAGAGTCCCCAGGTGTGATTTACCTATATGGGACCTCAGGGAGGGGTGTCAGCCATTCCAGTGGGGCCAATTCCCTGGTACCCTCTTCCCAGCATCCATTGCAAGTGTGTGGCACAGATGGTCCCACACAGTTGGTGCCTTCACAGGCCAGCCTGTAACCATCAGGGGATTCATTAGCTCAAAGATAGCTGCATGGTTCAGGCCTTTCTGCACTTCCCTATTGTAGCCCAGAACTTTACAGTAGGAGTGGGAGTAAGGCCTGACCTTTCTGCCTTCCCTTTAAGCCTTTCATACCATCCTCACTCCCTTTCTGCTCCAGCTTCACCTGCCCATGCCTGTACTGTCCATAGGCACCCCCACAGCATCCCCTCACCCTTGCAAAACAAGGTGCAACATACATCCCTGCAGGCTCTGAGCTCTGGGCTTTACTGTGCCTCCCCCTGGCCTGGGACATTCCTCCCTCAGACTCTCCTCCTTTTGGTCCTCTGCCCATCAGCTCCACTCTCTGCTCCCCTGGCTTCCCACAGCACCCTCTTCTGTCCCTGATGGAGACTGGCCACCATTCCGTGGGGCTGTCTCCCTGCTTGTTGAACCCAGGTCCCAGCCCCCAGCCTGGCACAGACATGTCTAATGGGGGCTGAGTTCATATCCCTGCTCTCTTCCTCTCAAGCCTTTGCTAGTTTGGGTTGCCAGATTTTCCTCTGAGTTCTAGGACTGTTCTACCCCCTCGTGGAGCTCGGGCTTATGACCCTCATAGGTGAGTTCTGACTTGACTTGCTAAGAAATGGCATCTCATTTATTTTCCTTGACCGTCCAGAAAATGCTAGGCAGATACTGAAACAAATGAGCAAATTACTCTGAAATTTGAGTTACATTAAGCCTGGAGCTAGAAATACCACTGGGCACCTCAGTCAATATTGATAATAGTAGTGGTAACAAATACACTACTACTGTGCCTGGGCCTGTGCACCCACCCTTGCTAAGTGCCTGTCCCGTAATAGTAAAAACTTATCATAACACATTGCACGGCACAGGTGCACTTGCCTACATGCAGGCAATATATGCATACACATAAAATAAAAATAATAAATAAAAGATTTTTTAAATTTATTTAATAACCACATAATTAGAAGAAGCATTCATCACAACAGCATTGACATATTCAATAACAATTTCCAGAGCTAAGATGCATCTCTTTCAAAATTGCCTGTAAATTTTTAGGTTTACAGTTAAATTAATACAGTTATACAATATTGTACTCAGGATAAACCCTTTAAGACATAAAATTAAATGAGGTTT